TGATGATGAGATTAGATCACAATAGCAACGAAAGAAACGCCAGAAGCCGGCTAAATGGAGAAAGCAAACACCGAAGGCCACCATTGCAACGTCTGTGAACGATTTATTCCCCAAAACAAACCACGATTCCACTGCATGTCATGTGTCGACTACAACCTCTGTGCCTCATGCAAGAGAAGCGCGAGGTTCTCAGGCGGTCATAGGGACAACCACATATACCAACATATACAAGACGGAGTTTCAGCGCCGAGCGGTTTCCCACGAGTTGGCAGCGGCACCGCACTGCAGTATACTGGCTCGCAACACCCATACTGGGACCGCGTGATCAAAGAAAATAAGACCCCCTCGGATCGGTTTAGACGCCTGATCAACTCGATACATAATTTCGTCTCTTGGACTCATGAACCCCCAAGTGGCAATCTCGAGCCGGAAAAGGCTAGCTACATCATGACGATCCTCAACCCCCCCGATCAAGACAATATATTCAATCTCTTCCTTACCCACAGCACACGACATCCCGAGGGACTTGCATGGAGCGACTTCCAGACCCTCCTCATCTGCAGGAACTTTGGGTGGGAGTACCAAAAGAGCACACGCGACCACAATCAGCAGACCGCAAGTGTCCCACCACATTATCGGGAAAAATTCAACCCGGTCGACCACTGCATGCCACTACTCACTCCCGATGGCCTCCGGGATATGGTGGTTATGGAAGCTTTAGCAGACCCGCTGGGCTTCCCCAAGAGATTCAACAACCTCCTCAGTATAATAAACGGATCACAGAGAGTACTTGCGGATCTCGAGGATAGCAGCACCTTCCCGGCCGGACCCATTGAGGAGAATTGCTGGCCTCTATCTCCAGACGCAGAAGCGGTGAGCACACGTGCCATGATGCAGAAAGCCGCGAGAGAGGCAACTGTTGCCGCCGACGACTATATCCGCAAGGTGGACGGATGGATCCGCGGGTGTGTGTGAGTAGGCTAACGTCTGGCATACCGGCTGATGACCCGCTGTGAGATTATTCGATTGCTATAGTGACCTCTATTAGCTTCCTGCTTTTCCCTAAACCAATGGTTATCCTACCCTATCTCAACACCCTAACACGATGAGATACGGGAATTGGGAAACCTTTCAGGATAATCATTGGCTAAGGGACATGGGGAAGGCTGGTAGTCTCAGGCATTTAGTAGCACCGGGTCGCCCTGCCGCGATCATTCAGCCAGCCAGTCAGACCAGTAACGGTTTCTACTTATTTTAATTGTTATTTCCCTTTGCTCTCTCTCCCCCTTCATTGGTACATGTACATCCCCAGCGCTGGCACGCTGGACATGCTTGTTTTTAAGCGTCATTTTTCTTTTGGAATATTCTTATTGAGGTATCATTCCCGGGTTCGCATATGCATGGATATTTGGTTTTGGATTCTTTCCTCTTCTCTTTTTACTTTGGTATATAGCTTGAAAATAGCATCGGAGGGAGTTGGCTCTATGGGTGCTCTTGCGGTGCTTTCTGAGGGATGAAGAGCGATGTTGAGATCCGCTAGCGCTACATATCAGCCCGGGATCATTGTTAAGCATTCTTTGAGAGGGATAATTCAAATGGGAACGTAGCTGTGTGTACCAATGCCTAGAGGCCCAAGGCATTACCTCTCCCTAGGTCTGACTATTAGAGTGTATCGAGAGGCCGACCGCAGTTCCATACTTACACTCTCCCTCTGGTAGCAGACCTCCTTCGTTATTGCGTGTCACAACATCCAACATATCATCACCAAGCAAGATTGGAAGTTTCAGCTAATTGGCTGTGCTCCTGTGGATTAGTGCCAATACGAAATTCCCAAAACCTTTGTAAAAAAAAAAAAGCAGACGCGCATATGGGTATGAGGGGGGGTATGTTTTTCCCGGTCCGAAATGCGGTCGGTCGACCAGTTCCCTCGCATTGCGCTACCGGCCACTCTATGACTATTGCGTGAGAACCTCTGGGCGCACTATACAAGTGCACGATTTCATGCCACCCGCAAAAACGATAGTTCCCCACCCAATCAAAACAGCTTTCCTAGATCCATTGCCTCTGAAGCACATATTCGAAATGTACGCCTAATATGCATGTCACTTGGGGAGGGGGGTACAAGTTACCTGGATGCCCTACCCCCGGCAGGCTAAGGCCGTGATTGGCTATGGGCATGGGCGGCCTTTATCATCAAGCCACCGTGAGGCCCACAAACCCGCTACCCGAAACTCGCTCCAAGCAGATTGTGTCGATTTGTAATGATAATCGAAATAGCGGAAAGGTCGATAGCTATGATATTACAATACAACAAGTTATAGCGGGAATGCAAAGAACTTTGGGAAAGATGGAGTCATTGGACATAGGCTCTTACGATTGTTCACGGCATACCCACTTATTACCAAGGCTCCTGCAATAATACTGATTCTCATACTCAAGTGTATTATGTTTTTCTGTATGTGCTTGCAATACGATGAACTCCGACAATTAGCCTCCGTCCCTTTGACCCCCCCCCCTCATGGTTTATATTTCGTAACTGCAGTAGGAAGTTCTTTCGCCGTTCGGAACTGCCCAAGGACTTTGGGCCCGCTTGGAAGCACAGATTTCATAGGATGGTATCGTAATTTTTCTTGTTGTCTACTCTCTTTTTCCACTTGTGGGCGAACTGCCATCCCCGATACATGAAGGAGAAAGACTTCCGGGTTCCATATCCTTCTCATCTCACCTCTGCTTCTATCGTACTTTCTTCCTACATCCGCTCACTTCCCAATCCCAGATCCTTTTGAGCTGCTCTAGATCCACCGGCAAGTAGGTCCATGAAGCTCCATCCCGCTGACAAAAGAAATAGGCTTACCGCTCTTTATCTACCGAGGTGATGTAATCGTATCCGACATCTAAGCGCCGGTGATTCGCAACAACTTCTCTGACGGTATCGCCGCTTTATTTATGCATCACTCGGAATGCGCACCTTAATAGCAAGACCACTTGGATTAGACCCCCAATATCTAGTATCTCTCAATAAATACTTCGTTATCCTATGGGGCTCCAGGTATGGTTGGATCGTGGAATGCGGCCAATAGAGGTGATATCATACCATCTAAGGCAGCAGATAAAACCCAAAATTTTAACTCCCAAGCACAAGGCACATCGGCAACTCTATACTTCGGTGTTCCTACCCGCTCCGCTCACTCCCCTTGTTTGCTCAGTTTTCAGAATTGATCCAGACAGAGTTGAAATCATGAAACATCACTCATGCGGTCTATTAATGAATATGAAATAGAGAAAGAAGAGAAGCTTGGTTTTCGATTGCATGGACTCCTATAAGTTTATATCCTCAATACACAAGTCAGAAAAGAAAGAACACAAACAAGAGACAAAAAACAAACGGTCGAGATAGGCGATATAATATTATGAGAGTCAAGGAGAAGGAAAATAAGCAAGAGAAAACGAATATGAGATGAGAAAAGGGGTCACACCATGGTTGAACAGGGTATGGAGTTAATGTTGATAGAGGAATTTTGAAGAGATGGGGGATGAGAAACATTAGTATCATATAAGGAGAAAAGGAGCAAGAAAGAAAGTAACTACGTTAGTATTGTAAGGAAGAAGTTGCGAGAGAATGAGACTAGTTGGTTCTGTATGGCGGATAAGGACCAAGTTCAGCACGGTCCCACCGTAGTCCCATTGGAGAAAATATGAGGGAACGAGGATAGAAGACGGGAGGCATGATTCTTATTCCACTCGGCACAGGAATATATACTCCCCAAAAGAGTTTCAATTACGGCCCAACTCCATATCTCGGATGTGCGCTCAACTGACAGACACCTATCATAGTGTCCCACCTCCCACCCACCTTTCCATTACCACTCGCCCCCCACCTAACATTTCACAGCACATTCCCTCGTCTCTCTACTATCAGCGCCCCGTCTTCTTTCCACCTGCCACAGCGTCCTTCTGCCACAACACTGGAAACCCCTCCTACTTGACACCCCTCGTCTCAACCGAACACCTGCGTCTGATGGATCACACACTTCCCCAGAGGAGCGCCTCCGCTGACATCAAACACCACTCGCAGTTAACTCGCTGACTGGGGTGGGGCCGATTTTACATTTCCAATAGGACATCATTTATAGGGAGAGTGACATGCCTAGCTATGGGGATATCCCCCCGCCCAAGTAAAAGTCTTTCCATATACTGTACTCGTACTGTATGCTATAAGAACTTTCTGGTAACTGCCAATGATAAGTCCCAACCCCACCGAAAATTTAGCAATGGACAAGAATATGGTCGGGCAGATTATGGGGGGACCAACACCTTAGCTAACGAAACCCACTTTCAGCAAACACAATTACTTCCGAGATCCTGTGAGCCGGAGTCATTGGCGCTATTCCGTTCTCTTAGAGTGCCGGATACCGTTTCTACCACTTGCCATGGATGGATGGTGAAAGTGAGAACAAAATTGTTTTTCGCATAACGTGAATTTGGAGGGGATTTTGTTGTCGAAGAATTAACGATAGGGAGTCTCGTTGAGAGCAGACATATAGTATGTATATAGATAGAGTGACAGAGCATGATCTGATCATGTCCGTCGCTGCCGAAAATCACTATTATCGTACCCTATTGGGCCAGCATCCCGAGCCGAAATCAGGCGCCTTACTGATACTATACTGGAAGGTGCTTAAAGGTGAACACGCATAGATGCGGTGGAGTGCAATGGAGTCTCGGACAGATTCAGACAGTTTACCCCCCCGTGCGAGTCAGACACCAAACCAAGGATGAAAGACCCGTATCATAATACCGAGCCGAGCGCAGACTCAGGGGTGACGGACGGCCAACCATCTCAATCACCACTTGGTAAGTCAACCGTGAAAAACGGCCACGAGCATAACGTCCCCGGGACATATCCGAAAACGTTCACCTACACAAAATGATCCCGCCTCACCATCAACAGGCGCCGTTATTGGGAAACGCAAGAAACCATTCAAGTCAAAAAACCCAAATTGAATTATATATAAATTATCATATAACGAAAAACTAAAATAAAGAAAAAAAAATAGGAAAAATGAAAATGGTGTATATCACTCCCAGAAACAAAAGCCCGGACACCGGACAGCGACGGCTATTAGGATACATAGTGTCATACATGAGCCGCGGACGTGAATGGATGAACGAGTAAGGGATTGATAAAAAAGTCAAGTAAAAACTCCGACACGTTTAAGATAACTTGAACAAAAAGCAAAGCAAAGCGAAAACAAAAAAGAAAAAGGCAAAATAGAAAGAAACTAGGTTTTAGAAAAAGCTTTTTTTTGGTTTTCCTTTTTTCCTTTTTTTTGGTGGGGCTATTTTAGTTAACGTAGCAGCAATAATAAGCAAGGGCGCGATGGCAAAACAAAAACACCAAGATAAAAAAACGCAAGACCAAAAATTGTGGGAAAAAAATGCCCCCTATAGAAGCGAACGCTCAAGCGTCATGCACTCGCTTCCCTCCCGCTCCCACTCCCACTTCTCCTACTAGTCCTCCTTCTCTGCATCCTCTCGATCTTAGCATTCCCCTCATCCTCACTGACCAAGCGAATAGTGCTCTCCGGGATTTTCGGCAACCCAGTCACCTCCGAGATCCGGGTCTTCTCGGGCGTCGTGCGGGGACTAGCATCGGTAATGGGCGTCAACCGATTGACTCCGCCCAACCCGCCCAACTCCCCGCTCTCCCTCCCGGGCCGGGCACCCGCGCGGCTCTCACTCCTCAACTGCGGTCGGTTAACGAGTACCTGCATTTTCAGGACCACGCTCTCACGCTCGTACCTCTCCCCGTACTCATCGCCACGGCGGATAACCATGGGGAAGAGAATAGCCTTCACGGTTGCGCCCTCGGCCTCCAGCTCCGCGTCCGTGGCGGGGTCGGAGCCACGGTTCGCCATGCGGGAGGAGATGAAGGGGACAGTGTTGTTCACGTCGCCATTCTCGTCGTATGTGGGCGCTGGTGGGCGGAGCATTACGTATTCCGCGCGTTGGGTGCGCATGTCGATTGCTAAGCTTACCGCCGAGGTTATGATAGAGGTTAGGCTTGAGTGGGCGAGTTGGGTATATTGTTGTGGGGGTGGGAGGAGGGTTGAGAGTTGGCTTAGGATTGTGGCTACGACGGACTCGATGTCTGCATCGCGCTTTGGCGGGAAGGCTGGGCGTTGGGAGAGGAGGGTTAGGGTTGTTGCGCGCCATTGATGAACGGCGGCAGGGGCACCTAGAGATGTCGTTAGTGCTCTTGCTATGGGTGGGGAAGATGGAATGGGATAAGCATACCAATGTCAGTGAGAATCTTCTCCAGGGAGAGCAATTTCCTTCTCTCCTCGGCCTCCAAGCCGAACAAATATCTTGTAAAGACCAACTCCCAGACCATTCTCATGACAACGGCCATAAACACCTCCGGCCTCCTCTTCTCTTCTTTCAACATCCTCCTGACACCCCTATCGTCCAACATGACCGCCTCGACCCGATCCCTGATAGTCTCGTCCGTGATCCTATGGACATGAACGCACTTCTTCCCGGTGGAGAAGGACGAGAACTGCTTGCAGAAGATCTTGACCGACTGGAAAATATTCTTGCAGGAGGAGTTGAAGTACGCGATGTCCTTGGTGTCAACGTACTTGTTTGTCTGCCGCGCGGAGAGCTTGTTCTGCAACTTTCGCACTTCCTCCCTAGCCCGTTCCAGTTCAACGCGCAGGCGCTCAAGTTCGGCGTCCTTCTCGGATAACTCGGTGCGGATGATAGATTCCATGCCCGTCTGCATCTCCGTGAAGTTGCGCTGAAGCTCCAAGTGCTCGTCCGAGAGTTTGAGCATGGCCTCCTGCTTCCTATCGTACTTGGCCTTGAGCGCGGCGTAGCTCAACTTGTAGCTCGTCGAGAGGGCAGTATTCGTCTGGTTCAGGGAATCGTTCGTCTGACTTAACCTTGTGACTTCCGTCCGATACCACTCGATCTTCCTCTGCAGCTCTTCAATCTGACTATCCTTCTCTTCCAACAATGCTTTCTTCTCCTCAAGATCAAGGTTCAACGCTTTCGCCTCACTCTTCCCACGGGCGATGGCTTCATTAAGGCTCTTCTCGACATTCGCCTTGTCGTGCGTAAGGTCTGTATTCTCAGTTGCTAGGGCCTGGAGTCTGTTCTCGAGGTCCACAATTTGCATGCTCTGCCTTCGGCGGATACTCGGTGGTCGTGTAGGACTCTTGGGCTCGCCATCCCTGTCGCCCCAGGCTTCGTAGTACTCTGAGTTGGTGATATCCCTCGCTTTCCCCTTATCTGGAGTGCCATACCGCTCCCCGTTGAAGATCACGTGCTCGCCAGAGGCGCGCGGGCTGTCAATTTGGCTGCCTACCCGCCGTAGCGACGGGGAGATGGTCCTCCGGCGCTCGCCGCGCTTGAGTATATCCATTGGGTCTTCACCTGGGATTTTGATCCGCTGTAAACCGGAGCTGCGGGACTTACGTAGTTCGTGGCTGGTGGTTTGTCCGGTGAGACGAGCGATGAGGTCTTCTGTTGAAATGAACTTGCGTTCTCGGGCGCTGGTGGTACGAGTAGGCGTTGGTGGGTGAACTTCTGTAGGGGCCTTTCGGACTTCGAGGATTGTGGGGAGCTTCTTATTAGCGAACGGTTTGGCGGGTGTATCGAGAGCTTGTTCTTCCTCTTTTCTATTATTCTCGTGTTTCTCCGAATAATATGGTTTCTCAAGTGGCTTTGTGGAAATCTTATACTCCTTCTCTTGCGGCGCGGCGGTGTGTATATCCTTAGTAGTAAACGGATCTGAAACCGCTCTATCCCTTCCAGCGCTAGTACTCGGAGTAACAGCGACAGTCGCAGTGCTCTCACTAGGGCCGCCAAAGAGACTCTGATAAGCACTTCCTACCGCCTCCTCCTTACTCCTCTCAGGACTTCCCTCCGCACAGATCTCGGGTAACTCGTCCCTAAAAAGCACGGAGTCCCGTTCTCTCGTCTCGCTAATGACCGGAGAAGGAGCCCTACTATCCTCAACAAAACTTCCAATACTAAGTAGCGAGTCAAGCGACGGCTGTGTGTGAATGTTTGTTCGTGACCTCCTTTCTCTCAATACAAAGGGGCCTGGTCTCGAAACGCTGATTTCAATACTATCCCGACGGGGGTGTGACTCGTTGGATACCTTTCTAACGGAGACCTGGAAGTCGGGATCTGCTTCTATTGAAACGTTGAGGTTTTCGGCTGATGAAGAATTGGTCGATGTTTGTTGTCCAGGCCCGGCTTCAAGTTCGGATTCTAGCGTAGGTTCGAGTTCAAATTCAGGCGTGTACACCGGTGTAGGTATTCCCTCTGTTGGGATCTCGGCTTCAGGCGATGTTTCTTTCACCTCTTGCACTTGTGACTGCGGCGACGGGGGGATGGCAGTGTGTAGTTGTTTGGTTTCCCCCGGTTCAGGTAGCTGTGGTATATATGATAACCGCTGTGGAAATTCAGAGGTAGATGTATGTGAAACCAACGGTTCAATAGATGGCAATGGTTCAAATGGCGGTAAAAGTTTGGGTGAGTGATTTGTTGTGACGATGGATTCTGGTTGATGTTCAGTGGTGATAGGCTCGGGTGTGGGGTTTTTGATAGGTACTTGGGTTTGAGATTCGGTCGGTAGATTGTTGTGGTAGCCAGGTTGGATAATTGCCTCCTCAGCGTTCTCAGTAAATGTTGTGATGGGTTCTTCGGAAGTTGTAAATACTGTGGCGGCTTCCTCGGAATGGACTGACTCTTTTTGACTCTCTTCTGCAGGATACTCTGTTTCCGATACAATAGTCTAATGGGCACACAAAAGGTTAGAAAAATAACTACTCTACTATTTAAATATCTGTACATGAAGGCTTCACCTTATCCTGAGACTCCCCCCCCCTATCCTCTTTCTCAATTCCTATTCAACCAACCGTTAGCGTTTGAATTGCGACGCAATCCGATATAGTGAAGCCCAACCCTCTTTCCCTCCCCATCCAGGTTGCCCTTGCGAAGACTCGGCCGTGTTCGGTCGCGAAGGGTCCTGTTGTCCAGTCGACCGCGCCAAGTCATCTATGTCAATCTCAGAATTGGCTGCCGTGCTCGGGTCGACCGGAGGCCAGGTCTGGGACCGTGTCAAACCCCCATCGTCAATATCTTCATCTCCTGGCTCGCCGCTGGCTTCCAGTGTTCTTGAAGGACCAAAACTCCGAAGGTTACGAACCTCCGCGAGAACACTAGGGGTCTGAGGAACGGACCCTGGCTGCGCACCGCTGGTGTCGTTCAGAGTGGACGGGGTGGTGGCATCGTTCCGAGTAGAAGACCATCTAGATAGCTCGGGACGCCCGACAATATCTGGAAGGCCAGGAATCTTCTTTCCTTCCATGGGGGCGGACTGGCGACGAGCATTAGGCGGGGAAAAAGAGACGTCGGGCTTGGGGGCTTGGGAGGATGACGGTCGGCTCGAAGAGGGCGCTGGCAAATCATCGGGAGCGACAACTCTCACTGGTGCGTCAGAGGACCCAATCGGACCCGAGATCGGGCGAGAAGCGGCCGGGACCGAAACCCGTTCTTCCACCGATTTGCTTAAAATTTCTGATAGCTCTTCTCCCTCGACTCGAGTCTCGTATTCCACCGTCTCAATTTGCAATTGACGACTATCCACTCTACACAAAAGTCAGCATACACACATTCACAAATCTATCGGGGAACCTACACTACATGCTCCTTTTCAATCTCTTTAGGGCTTCCTTTGACGTCTCGGCCGACAGGCGCCACCGAAGGCCCCGCAGAGCCCCCGGCTTCCTCACCCTGCTTCTTCTTCTTAGACTTCTTCTTAGACCTCTTCTTCTTAGACTTCTTCCCACCCTTTTTCTCCCCAGTTTCAGGAGTTGGCAGTCCTCCGACTTCGGTCTCTGCCTCAATTGGCTCATCGTGCTCGTGTCCACCCATTGTATTTGTAGGAAACACAGGGGGATTATCCGGAAGTGGGTGTACGGCGATGGACGACGCAAGATCAGTCCGTGGGGGCTTAGGCAGGTTGTCAGGCAGTGCGGACACCGCGGTAGGTGACGTCGGGCCACCGCCCGGCAACCCCGGCAAGTTATCCGCCGATGCGAGCATCGCAATAGGTGGCGAGGGGTCGCTGCGCGGGAGTTGAGGTAGATTATCAGGTACGGGTTGCAGAGCAATGGGAGAAGATGGATCACTCCTAAGCTCAGGGAAACTACCCGGAAGCAGATGCATCGGAATGGGAGATGTAGGATCGCTCCGCGGGAGCTCAGGCAGGTTGTCAGGCAATGCGCACATCGCGATAGGTGATGAAGGATCACTGCTCGGCAACTGTGGCAAGTTATCCGGCAATGCAAACATCTCAATAGGTGATGAAGGGTCGCTGCGCGGGAGTCGAGGTAGATTATCAGGTACGGGTTGCAGAGCAATGGGAGATGATGGATCGCTCCTAGGAAGCTCAGGAAGATTATCCGGAAGTGGATGCATCGCGATAGGCGACGCAGGGTCACTCCGTGGGAGCTCGGGCAAGTTATCCGGCAATGCGAACATCGCAATAGGTGATGAAGGGTCGCTGCGCGGGAGTCGAGGCAGATTATCAGGTACAGGTTGCAGAGCAATGGGAGATGATGGATCGCTCCTAGGAAGCTCAGGGAGATTATCAGGAAGTGGATGCATCGCGATAGGTGACGCAGGGTCACTCCGTGGGAGCTCAGGCAGGTTGTCAGGCAATGCACACATCGCTATGGGTGATGAAGGGTCACTGCTCGGCAACTGTGGCAAGTTATCCGGCAATGCAAACATCTCAATAGGTGATGAAGGGTCGCTGCGCGGGAGCCGAGGTAGATTATCAGGTACGGGTTGCAGAACAATAGGAGGCGATGGATCGCTCCGAGGAAGCTCAGGGAGATTATCCGGAAGTGGATTTATCCCGGTAGGCGACGCAGGATCACTCCGTGGGAGCTCGGGCAAGTTATCCGGCAATGCGAACATCGCAATAGGTGACGAAGGGTCGCTACGCGGGAGTTCAGGTAGATAATCAGGTATGGGTTGCAGAGCAATGGGAGATGATGGATCGCTCCTAGGAAGCTGAGGAGAATTATCTGGCAGAGAATACATTGCAATAGGTGATGAAGGATCACTCCTTGAAAGCTCGGGCAAGCTATCGGGTAACGACTGTAAAACAATCGGACTCGCAGGATCAGTCTTTGGCGAACCCGTAAACGACCTCCAATCCTCCCCTTCCCGCTCGTCAATCGGTGACAGAGGTGCACTGGGCGGCAACTCCGGCAGGTCATCAGGCAGCGCAAACACTGCAACGGGACTGGAAGGATCACTCTTCGGCAGTTCGGGCAAGTCATCTGGGATCGGCTCCATCGCGACCGGGGAAGCAGGATCGCTCTCCGGAAGTTGGGGCAATTCTTCTGGGTTGGCATATTCTGGAAACTTGTACTCGATGGGGGGCTCAGGGCCCAGAAGGAAAGAATCGAGGTCCTCGACGACGGGTGCTGCGCGGATAAACTGCTCGGGTTGGATGACAGGTGACAGTGGTACGCTACCAGGTAATACGGGAATGTCCTGCAAGACGGCGGGCAATTGGGACAGGGATGAGGATCCGCTTGCGGGTAGGGCAAGTGGTGAAATAGAGAGGCTGCTTGGCCTACTGTCTGGTAGAGCGGGGAGGTCGTTCATTGTGTGGAAATTCATAAAAGGTGAGTAATTTTCCGCGCTGGGCAAAGAAGATAAAAGAGAGGCATCTTGCACAGGCTCAAGAGCAAACGGTGTATTAGGATCGCTCAATAGTAAAGGAGTGGGTTTCGGTGAAAAAACGTCGTCGAGGGGCAAGCCCTCTGGTATAGCTGAAAGTAGGTATGGTGAGTCAGGGTTACTATTAGGTAATGCCGGATACGTTTCATAAATATTATCGTCCGAACTAGGATGAATATAAGGAGATTGAATAGGAGAAGGATTATCGCGGTCGTCGTAAATGTCTGGGGGTTCGGCGGGATGCTTTGGTGTTTCACCACCGTCGCCCTGCTAATGTCTCTGCTCAGTATAAGAAATCTTAGCACAAGAGAAAAGAACTCAAGCGATTTAGACCTGTTTTCTGTCCCGGGGGTTGATTGTTATCTTCACCTTTAAGCTTTCTGTCCTCCTAATTTGTGGCAAACGGCTTTCCATCCTGACTTCTGTGTCGTTAACGTTAACATCTCCACCTTGATGCTGCTCCGGAAGTGAGTCAATGGATTCAGAAGAGGCTGCTGCTAAGTCAACAGCCTTCTTCTTTCTAGTAAGTCCTTTCCGGCTAGAAGACGTTGAGAGTTGCGGGATTCTGGTTTCCGGACCCTGGAACTCCCGGTCCTCATTCGTATCAGGTGTAGGAAGCGGGATTTGTTCCGGAGTGCGCGCATCGGCACGGTTGATACCTGCTACCTGGTCAAGGCTCATCCCAATGTCCCTGGAATTCCGCCAGCTGTTACGACCCTCGGAGAGCTCCGGGATGGGCGACGGCAGCCCCCTCTCATCTAGACTCCCTCTTCCGATTAGCTCCGGAAACTCATCACTTCTTCTCCTCCTAAGACCGCCGCGCGGAACTGGAATCGCCCTTTTCTTCTTCTCACCCGCTTGGATCCCGGCCTGATCGGATATTTCAATAGTCCCCTTGTTCACACCCCCCCTAGGATGGACTCCGTCGTTGGACACCCCCTCTTGTGGACCCGAGAAAGTCGCTGCCATGCGTTCTTCGACGTGATCTAACTGACTAGCATCAAAAGAAGCTCTGCCAAGATCCTGGGGGGTGAGACTCTCATTACGGATAGATGATGATGCAGCGCTAGCAGAATCAGTGGCATGATGGTCTGGTTTACCTCCGCCAAACACTCCAGCGAACGAATGGAATGATTTACCGGAGGAGGTAGTAGGCCGAGTCTGGGTTTCCCCCTCGTCAGACCCTGGGTGGGTTTGCTGCGGTGGGATTTTGGCAGCGGCATCATCCACAACCCTCTGTACTGCTCTTGCAAGGGCGGGTTTAGACGGTGAGGTAGCAGGAGTCGTCTGCTTAACCCCCAATTTGTGGAAGAGGCCTCCCCATCGAGACTTCCCGGAATCTGGAGAACCAGCCTCACCGGAGGACCTCTCTTTCTCTTCTTTCTTCTCTCTCTTCTCCTTCTCTTTCACTTCCTTCTTCTCCTTCTTCTCTCTCTCAATACGCTCCTTCTTTTCTTTCTTACTCTCAGTGCCAGACCCGGCAGCGAGCCTCTCAGTCTCCTCCAACATCTGAGAATCATCACTATGATATGTGACGCTGCTCTTTCTTGATCTCCGCCCTGATAGCCATCCATCCATAATAGAAGCTGGAGGCGTAGATTGAGGAGTATTGGGCGATTGATCAAGGCTAATACGACGTTCGGCTTCTCCCGGAACACCCTGCGAGTGAGACTTATCACTGCCGCCGCTAAGTATCCTCATGCTCGAGAGCACATTAGCTGTAAGAGACATCTTGCGGGCGGTATCTGTAGATCTCCTCTCAAGGGCAGGGGGTGAGGACTCCAAGGAAACACCGCCAGAGCCAGGAGTCATAGAATCAGCTCGTGAATCTGAGCTCACCGAATCGGTAGTCTTCGACCGCCCAAACAACGATCCAGTCCTCTGTCTTCTAGACTTGGACCGGGAACCACTCCTCAAGACTTCGGAAATCCTCGACATACTCCTGCTTCTGTTGTGCTTTGTCTCTTCCTCCTCAATGAAGCGTTGGTCAACGGGCGTAGGAGGCTTGGTAGCTTCAGGGGTTGCAGTGATCGCTTCACCTAAAACGAGCCCGGGATTGAACCCTGCATCTTCAGCCGCTGCCATTGCGATCGCCGTGAATTCCAAATCCGCATCCTCCTGTTTCTTCTCTTCGGTAGATCTCCGACTTAGTGGCGTAGGAGTAACAGAACGTGATCCTTCCCGGCTGTATTGGGCATTCTGTCGTGAAACTGGAGTACTACAAGTAGTGATGGTAGGTTCATTGTCCATAATTCCCCCCGTAGGAGGAGCAGCATACACCGACGATGCACTCGAAATAGCCTGATCTATGAAGAAATTAGCTTTAAGACTATCCGCAAGATCACAAGGCATCATACCATAAGCCTGTGTTGGCTTCGAGTAATCCTCCAACTGAACCTCTGTGAACTCAGCGGGTGAGTGGAATCGACCCTCTTCCGAGCTCCCCGAACCAGAGCGCTCAAGGGATTTGTAGTTATCCGGGAGTCGGGGACCATAAGCCAAGGGCGGGGGCTGGCCAGAAGATACAGGCTCAGCAACTGGCACCGATGGACCAGGTCTGGCGGGGAAATAATAATCTGTCGGCAGTTCAGGTCCGTAGAAACTCTCTTGCTGTCCACTTCGGAACCGATAGCTCTCCGGAAGCATGGGGCCATAATAGATGCTTCTCTGGCGACCCCGCCGCTCCTCCCTAGTCTCTTGCGACTCCTCGGTGATCCCGATAGCAATAGCTGTCTCGGCGGTTTTTATCGCATTAGTTGGCTGCGGAGCGACAGGAATACCGGTAAATGGCGTTCCGAAGGCAATCTCCTTATCCGGAAACTGATAGCCCTCCGGGAGCATGGGGCCATAATAGATGCTTCTCTGGCGACCCCGCCGCTCCTCCCTAGTCTCTTGCGACTCCTCGGTGATCCCGATAGCAATGACTGTCTCGGCGGTTTTTACCGCATTATTTGGCTGCGGAGCGACAGGAATACCGGTAAATGGCGTTCCGAAGGCAATCTCCTTATCCGGAAACTGATAGCCCTCCGGGAGCATGGGGCCATAATAGATGCTTCTCTGGCGACCCCGCCGCTCCTCCCTAGTCTCTTGCGACTCCTCGGTGATCCCGGTAGCAATAGCTGTCTCGGCGTTTTCTACCGCATTATTTGGCTGCGGAGCGACAGGAATACCGGTAAATGGCGTTCCGACGGCAATCCCCTCATCCAGGATGCCAAAGCCGACCTCGGGACTACCAGGGGGAGGGCTTGCAACGACTACCTCGGGGGACTCAATCTCAAGTCTCTGCCCCTCTGGCTCCTGTGCCCCAAATTGCTCCCTTGACTCTCCTTTCTCCTTCTCGGTCGGCGGGAAATAACCACTAGGATCGACATGGACCAGTAATTTAGCCTTAGGAGTCCCGGGCGGAGGAGTTGGTGCAGTCTGCACAAGCGTTGGAACACCCCCAGGGACCGTCCAGCTACGCTCAATAAACTCGACCGGCTCCGTCGGCAACTCTGCGAAGCTAACACGCCTCTTGCTCTTGCTAGGCTTCTCATCTAAACCAGCATTCTTCCGTATCAGCTCGACTTGCTCCCTTCGCGCTTTCTCCCGCTCGGTTTCGCGCTCCCTCGACCGCTCCCGGTTCCTACTGACTTCGCGTTCACGATAATTGGGATCCGCCTTGCGTTTGCGTCGGCGGGCTTCACGAGCCTCTTTCTGCTGAGCGGCAAGGACGGCCATCTGGGCTTTGAGCTTAGCGGCCTCCTCCTCGAGGTCAATGCGTGCCTGCTCTGCACGCTCAGCTGCGAGGCGGCGATCAACTTCCATTTGGATGAGGCGTTCCTCTTCGGCTGTTTGCTCGTGCTCGAGTTGGATTTCCTGTTCTTTCACTTGGAATTCTCCCGCATCTCTACGCTCCGCCTCGGCCACCACAATGGTGCGCTTGCGTTCTTCGAGCTGGAGTTCGTATTCACGTTTCTCCTCCCCCCCTCGCTTTTGCTGATCCTCCCTAACCTTCTCCGCTTCAATTTGCGCCTGCAGTGTGGCCATCTCCTCCTCCATATTCAGCCTGCGCTCGTCTTTTTGCTGATTCTGAAGATTTGTCTCCAATTTCTCAGCTCCAGCCTGAGCATGTAGCAGTCCCACCACCTCCCCCACCACCCTCTTCTTCTCACAGTGTTCAGCCAGCCTCTTTTCGTCTTCCTCTTCCAACCGGTTCCTTTGCAAATCCTTCTCAGCTTCAATCTGGATTTGGATTCTGCGCTTCCCCTTCTCCTCGGCCTCCCTCGCCGTTTCAAACTCAATTTGGGCTCTCTGAAGCGCCTGTTCTCTCAGCTGTTTCGATCGCATTCTCCCCATGAGCATCCTCCTCTCAAACTCCACCTCCTCAAGCCTCCTCATCTCGAAAAGAGCGGCCATTCGCCTTTTCTCTTCCGCAGCCCTTACTTCTCTCTCTTGCTCCCTCTCCAAAGTGATTTGCTTCTCCAATTGTACCCTCTTTTCATCTTCCTCTCTCTTGAACTGTAATGCCATCACGGTCCTCTGCTCCTCCTCAAATTTAAGGAGACGGGCTTTCTCCCGCTCCATCTCCATTCGACGCCGGTATTCAGCAGCATGCTCCTGCTCTTCTCTCCGGGAGCGCTCCTCCTTGGCGAGACGCTCTTTGCGGGCAATCTCTTCCTGTCTTGCCTGTTCAATGCGTCGGATAGTCTCGTTTTCCCGCTCCCGAGCCAGGGTGAGCTGGATCCGTTGAAGTTCGAGCGCCTCCTCGTCACGGCGCTTTTGTTGAAGCTCCAGATCAAGCTGGATTCGCCGCTCTTCCTGTGATTTACGAAGCCGCTCAGCCTCTTGCTTCTCATAAATTAATTGTCCCACCTCTCTTGCTTCCTGTTCAGCCGCCTCCCTTCTCACTCGCTCCTCATACATCACCCTCTCATGTTGCTCTTTCTGAATGCGTGAAATCTCAAACGCACGATTCTCTTCTCTTTTCCTCTGCTCCTCCAGTTCCCCCTTCCCAAACATATGTTCCACCTCGGTCATCTCTCTATGCTCTTCCTGTCTCCGTACTCTCCTCTGCTCTTCTTCAGTTTCATGCGCTCTCTCTCCCTCTAACAAACCACCCACCATTCCGGTAGCAACACCTCCGGCCAAACTGGTGATCCCCAAATGCAATTGTGGCTCAACACCAGCGGATACCTGCCGCGCAGTAGATGCAGAAATGGACTCCGACATGTTAAAAGCCGCGCTACCTGAATGAGTGGCGTGATGATGCACAACCGCATTATCAACCGACATGTTAACGCTTACCGGCGCTGGCTGTATTGGTACCGGGATTGGTCTCACTAAGCTCTCCCCATGCTCCCCCCTGATGGTATCCCTGCCCACCACTACCGCCCCGGCTGCTTTTGGTAGTGGTGGTTGGCCTAAAAAAGGCTTTGATTGCTGCTGGTGCCATAACTCTTTGTAATGACTGTCAGCTTGGTGGAATTTCTGTTGTTGTTCGATCGTGTAAGACGCGTCGCTAGGGATATAATTTGTGGTCTCGAATCGTGAGTCAGCTTTCGCATCCTATATTTCCCACCAGCCCACTCCCGCCAACATCAGCAACCTCCTCTTCTCACTTCGCCTCAATTAATAAGTTGAAATTTGCGTACCTTGCTGACATCCTTGCTGGATTCCGATGTATCCAAAATAGTTGTCGTGATTCCAGCCCTTGCATTTTCACTTATAATCTTCCCGTCCCTAGTGACAAAGAGATCCGATTTTGAGCTCCCGCCTCCTATCTTTTTCCTCATTCTCGAATCTCTACTTCTACTCCTGCTCCTCCCCGATTTCCGTGAACTACTTCTACCAAAAATGCCAAGGAACCCACCACCGGAACTAGGAGTAACCTTGGTAGTTGTTGAGGTCTCGCGATAATGGCTCTTGTGCTTTGAGTGGCGCGAATCAGCAGACTCCCAACTGTCTGCCGAGCTAGCCCTCTTGCGCCCAGAAACCGTTTCCGATCGATGGGGGGACCTTCCCTCTCGCACAACAGTAGTAGTGGTTACAGAATCGGACCTCTTCGGGGAATGATCTCGTCCCACAAAGGCCTCCTTCCGGCTTCCCTCACCCCCTGTATATATCCTGCGTTCGGTGGTCGTTTTCGAAACGAGAACCCCATCGCGAGTCTTACCACCGCTAATTCCGCCAAAACCGAACAGCCCAGTTTGAATCTCGCTTGATTGAGCAGTCCCCGACGCGACCTTCGTGGTCTCGGCCTGGAAGATATATGGCTTTCGTTGCTTCTCTGTGCCTCCAGCTTTGCCTTCATACCAGCTACCACCACTGCTAGAGCTAAGACGTGAACTGACTGATCCGGATCGAGACGTGCGAGTATCGCCGCTGAAGAATCCGCCATGGCGAGCACCGCCAGCAGCCCATGAACTTGATGAAGAATGTCCATGATGGCTAGCTGAGTGGGAAGAGTGCTTCTTCGAAGTGGAACGCCCACCACCAGCCCAGGCACCAGCAACACCCATCACACCTCCAGCAATATGACCACTGCTAGAACCCTTGGCCGATTTCCGGGACCCGCCCGAGTCACGCCCGGATATGCCGATTGCCGCACTACCAGAAGAATGCTTTGACGATGACTGATGATGATGACCCGACTGCGGTGTACCGTAATCATTCCAGCTCTTTCTGCGCTTGCCAATGCCGAAGGCGCTCGAGATTCTGCTTCCGGTAGATCTAAATGACTCTGCGATTGATCCAGCGTACGACCTACCACTCGTCACAGAGAACGAATCGGTTGATCTCCTAGACTTCTTTTGGCGAGATCCGTAGATGAGGCCGGAATAATTGGATTCATTGTCTGAAGAAGAGGAGGAGGAGGACGACGACGACGACGACGACGACGACGATGATGACGACGATGACGATGATCCAGTGGCTCTAACCTTCCTCCCATTACGCATAACATACTCAGAGCTACCGCCTATGGTATTGCGGCTATGATGGTGACTTGAACTGTGAGCAGTAGACGACGAGTATTTCGACCTCCTGCTTTGCTTCCTGCCCGTGGATCTCTTGTTTAATCCAAAGAGGTACGAGAACATACCCGTACTCTTACTCGATCCATAAGAACTCGGTGAAGACGAGTACAAAACACCATATTGCAGCCCCGACTCCTCCCCACCAGACGAAGTCTCACTCGGGAACTGGATTAATCCCGGAAGCGAAGTCTTGCTAGAAGACCCGGAATGGTGGTTATTTTCTAAACGTTTGCCCTTGCCCTTGCCTTTGTGATCGGATATACCGAAAAGCCCAGTATAGAACGATGCCGAAGTGTCCGAGTGATGCTTGTGTCCATTGGTTCCACTAGCGCCGGCAGTGTAGTGGTATGGGTGAGCACGGCCATCAGAGTCATATCCTGGGTTGTAGTAAAGATTGCTGTCCTTGGCCTTGGCCAAGTCACCACCTCTTAACACACCACTGGAGTGCTTACGAGTCCTCGCGATAGTATGGTGTTCACTCCTGCGGTGACGGGAATCGGACTCCCCCGACACAGAACCGGCGGTGCCCCCGGTGACCGTTCTCCACATGCTCTTCGCAACACCGCCAGGATTGGACAGGATGCTACTATTGCTGTCACGGCGTCTATGGGAAGAATATAACGAGTACTTGGATTCTCTTTTTTCTTGTCTCCTCAGCGCTTTTTGCTCCTTTCGAATATTCCTCAGCAACCTCTTCCTCTTTCGGGCATTATCCGATAGATCCGAGCCGCTGTCTGAGGTGCTGCTGCTGCTGCTGCTGCTGCTGCTGGAAGAACCGGAACCACTCCTCCTAGATCGCGCAAACCATCCAAACAACACCCTCCTAGACGTTTTCTTCCTCTTCACGCGCCAGCCTTTCTTGGGGTGCCAGCGTTGTCCATAATGATGTGTTCGCGGCGCATCTGCATAGGTGGTCCCCGGCGTGAAACAACCTCGACAAACGCCAATGATTTCGGAATAGAGCTCGAAATCGCCAACCGTCTCGCGCTCCTCCGCCTTGATGTTTTCCCAGATCTTTCTGAATGACTGACGGAGGGGAGGTGGAGAACCACTGTGGCCGTGTGTGGCGTGTGAGTGAGGAATGTGTAGAACACCTCCGGCAGCGGAGGCGCCCACAAGTCCGGATATTCCAGATGTGTGGTGCGATGTGCTGGAGCTAGATGTAGCCTGGTGGGAGACCGAATGGCTGGCGTTGTCTTGGTAGTATGATGCGGACCCTCCTCCATGGGTCGCGTGGGATCCAGTGGTTGTCGCGGTAGTCATTGTTAATGTCGGCTTGTCTCCTGGATAAAAAGGGGAGGCCTGTGGGACGGGCACCGGGTTGTAGTAACTGCTGTTGCTACCGACTCCCATTGTTGTGGTCGGTTTTCCTGATGAGACTCCCGCGGATGTGTTCCCTCCAGTCGCGGTGGTATACGATGAATTTCCTTGCAAGTTAGCAGACTGGGAGGAGCCATACGCACCTGCTCCTCCGCCAGTATCCGTTCCACAATACGTCGACGCGCCCTGACCCCCATATGCCGACGATAGGGGATTCGTTGACGTTCCATAATAACCGGCCGCCTCCCCCTTACTCAGGGTCCCTCCATTAACCCGCTTTTCAGTGATGGTAGTGGATCCTTGGGCACCGGTATGCGTCTTCGATGAAGACATCGCGATTAAGGATTATATGTACCGGTGCGTGACGCGTTCTGTGATTTTCGTAGAGATTGTTAAAGTAACTTTTGAGTGGTATTCCGTTTGTTGTACAGTCGTTATACTAATACAAAATGCGGCCGTAATTCGATAAAGGAAGGGACGTGTTTTTTTTTTCGTAGTTTCCTCTGTCTCTCACTTAGCAGCGCACACAGGGGAGGTGAATGCCCGAGCTCGGGGTCGTTTATTACGATTGACCGGAGTCGGGGCAGGATAGTATACTCTCGAGTAATGGGAAGAGTATTGTTTTCAGGTCTTCAATGAGACGGACGGAGTCGGGAGAAGATGG